TATTTGTCGCAGATTACTTCCACAATGCAGAGAATAAATCACTTTAAGTTCAGACTCAAACATCAGGGGGGGGTCAGAAAGAAATGTTGAAAACTCGATTCGCAGGTACTATCTCACAAATCCCAATGCATGTAACCAGTCATAAAAATAACTCACTCTCCAACAAACACGGTAGCCAAAACACACCAATTTTTCCCCAATTCAAGAACACTAACTGCTTTTATCGGCTAAGAATTTTCTCCATTCATCAACCATTTGACTGATCTGCCAATGTTCTCAGCACTGATTTTAATGTTTGGTGAAACCTTTCTACCAAGCCATTGGTCTCTGGATGATATGCGGTGGTCCTAATTCTCTTTCACCCTAAAAGTTTAATCAACTGTTTGAATAGGTCAGACACAGATAGTCAAACTCTGTGGTGATGACAGCCAGAACACTAAAATGAGCTACCCACCTGGATATAAAAGTCTTTCCTGTAGTTTCTGCTGTAATGTCTAACATGGGAAGAGCTTCACATCAGTGAGAGAACCAATTGAAACATGTCAACAAATAAGTATGCACCTCACAGAAGGGCAGGGGACCAGTTATGTCCACATGTATATGTGCAAACCACTCATCCAGAGATGGGATGGAGCCCAAAGGTGATTGAGTGTGTCTTCCAACTTTCACCTTTTGACAAGGTGCACAGCTTTTTGACCATAATCGAATATCAGACTTCATTTAAGGCCACACAAATCTATCTGTGACTGGCTTGATTGAAGCATTAGCACCAGGATGAGACAAGTTTTGCAGAGTGAAGAAGACTGTCTACTGCAATGTTTCTGGAACATAGGGCATAATCACTTTGTACTGATGTCATACACAATCTTGAAATCAGTGTTCGGGACCCATATCTTTGAAAACTGTCTACTGAAGCAAGAGTTGTTTGTCATCATCCATTAGTTGTTGTTACTCACAACTTGTCACACAAACTTCAGGACACTTTCAGACATTATTAAATTTCTCACAGGATTGCCACAGGTTTTTTGTCTTAATTGTTTCAATGTACCCAAGGGACTTACATTTTCTGTGAAAGAAAAATTGTCATTAGTTCATCCATTTTTTTTCTTTTTACAAAATTCAGTGAAATAGAAAGATGAAAATGATTCAAGCTCTACAAAATACAGGAGTGATACTTTTAAGTAGGTCATCCAGCGATCAAACTTTATGGGTAAAGAAAGTTTATGTTAACATATGTGTAAATACGTGCTAACTTGGGTGTGTATCAGTCAAAGGTGTATGAAGTTTAAAGGTTGTGTGTTGGTTGTATTGTAGATGTGTTCTGTGTGTTCATATGTAAACAATTAAAGAAGAAGCTTGCAAAACCTTGGGTTTCTGCTACAGATCATTTATTTTATATATATATATATATATATATATATATATATATATATAAACTGTAGTGTAACATGTCCGTTGATGTCATTGGTAAGTGGAAAAAGTTTAGTAGTCAGTGGACCGGGGAAGCTAACATTCCCCAGTAGAAACGCTATTACCACGTGGTTCACATATTGAACCCAAGAGGAGAAACAAAAAGATTCTGTCCTTTCAGGTAGAGGGGTCATAATATCACACATGTGACCAGAAACCCTTTTCGTTTTCTTTATAACCTGCATCATGGGAAAATTATTATTTTTATTCATTATTATTTTATCTAATTTGTTGTTTTTATTTCACTTTCCCCACATGTATGTAAAATTTTTCATAGAATAGTATAATGAGCATAAAGGTATATAGAACAGGCAACTGCCACTTATCATGAGTGATAACAAGAACTTTCACTCGCCAGAATCAAAAAGAAAGTGTTGGCCAAACACCCAGAGGAAAGGTGTGGTAACTTTATCTTCCTGTGGTGTGCCCACTTCTAGAAACCTTTTATCTTCTAACTTTATTGACTCATTATTTTTTTTTTTTTTTTATGGGATCAGCATGGTATACAATAAGTAGAGTGTCCAATATACATTTCTTCTGTTTTTACCATCCAAGAAAACTCATTTGTTCAAAAATCATCATCACAAGGCTAGATTATGATTTGCATGAGCAGAATTTGAAAAAGGGGTTTTTGAAACTGTTTTATATGGTAGTAAAACTAAAATATATGTAAATTTTACTAAGGAAGTTATTTTAGCTATTTTCATGTAATATCCAAAATATTCAGTCTAATTAAATGGACACACTATGTTGGAAAATTATTTGAATCATCTACCTTTGTTTTTATATGAGTGTTAGGATTCCAAACATTTAACAACAACAACACATCTTTTAAATAAAACCTAAAAATGTTACTTCCTGAAGGAAAAGTAGAAGCAGGATGTCAGTTGAAATAACATTTATAGATTCTCTTCAGAAACATACAATAGCAATAAAATGTTCAATTTTCCCTGCAGTGAAGTTTGTTATAAACTAATAAGGTGTTCATAGCACTGCATGAGATATGCATACTGACCTAATGCACTTAAGAGTTCATAGACAAAGGCTTAGTATGTGGCTGCTGGTTAATCTCTTCCATTGTGTATGTGGACAAGACCTTAGTCAGCAGCTGCTGATTCTCTCTACCATTGTGTGCGTGTGTGGGGGTGCATGCGTGTGTACGCATGTGTAGATCAAACTGGCCTCCAATTGTTTCTGAACCCCCGAGAAGGAGCAACCTTCTATTTTTATATCCATGAGGGGGTACAAAATCTAATTTCACACAGAGGTGTGAACTTTTTCAATACAAGTTTTTCATTGGTTAGAAAATAATTTCACACTGGCTTGCGAAAATCTTTTTAATTTTCATGAGTGGTAAAAAGAATTATTAGAGTTATTTTCTAAATGGTCCAAAAACAACACGTGGTAGGTCTACAAATACATCCAACTACATACACAAGTATTTTCACGGTATTTGCCTATGTAAATATTGTTTATCCAATAGACCTTTTATTGGTTGAAAAATATATATAGAATTTAATTCTTATATAATATTTTGTCTATAAATTACTGAAATGTAACTGCAGCACGTTTCAGACCAAAAAACATAATTCAAACTAATTGAATGAGATTGTTACAGCTGTTTTATCTACAATCCTGGAGTGTACACTTATTTGGTAATGAGCAAATGTGAAGCTTCAGGTTAAATCAGTTTATATTTGGTATCAGAGCTCTAAATTTTGACAATACTATCAAGCGCAATAAATAAAAAATTAATTACACAATGAAAAACTTAGTTATTGTGCAAAATGTAAAAATTTAACACCCTACAAAAACCTACATTTTTGTGTAGGTACCTCCACAGATTCACAATACCTAAGGTTTAAAATGAATTTTTAAAATAAAAATTTTTGAAGCTTGTATTTAATTTTAATTTCAAGTTAATAGATTAAATTTAATATTCCCAATAAACAAACCGGTGGCTTATTGAATTCATTTGTAAGTATTAGCTTCAAATATTAAAACCAAATACACTTACAAAAAGCTTACACGTGTGATTCATAACAATGGTGCTTGCCATTTCCACAAAAAATTAATCACTCTTCCTTTTTTTCCCACATCTCCAGTGTTCTTCTTAATAAATAGTTGTTACGGTTTGTTCTATAAATACATGTTAGTGTTTATTCATGTTTCTATAGTGATAGACGTTGTGACCTTAGGTCCGATTAAACTAATTGTAGCTATTACACCTTCTACACTTCTGTATTCTGATTTTTACCATATGGTCTGGGGGGCATTGAACTACCTCTTTGCTGACAGCTTTGTATGCTTGAGGTTTTCTGAGTGTCACAACCTCTCTGCCTACACCCTTGTGCAAATTAAGTGAAACAAAACGAATAATTCTGTTAATATTTATTTTTTTTTATATTTTTCCATTGAAACATGACCCAGTTCACATGTTAGTACTTCGTATGTACATTCCACAAAATCGTTCCTTGCAGATTGACCAAAGATTCTCGATTGGATTTAAATCAGGAAAATTTCCAGACCAATCTATAGTACTTTCATTTGCTCACTGGTAAGGCTAGCTAGTGTGTTTGTGCAGGGTTACAATTTTAGTACACTTCCTTGGAGTAACGTCAATCGCAGACAATGGCAGTAGAACAACTAATCGACGGTAAAGACAATAGTGTCTGGGTGTGATAAAAATCTGATGCAATCATGGATGACACAGTATTTTTCAACGCCAAGCAAATTTCATCATACAGCATGAAAATAAATTCATATTACTGCACACCACTACAAATGACCTAACCTGAGAAAAAATAGAAATCAATTAAACCCTGTCACTCCAGTGGGTCTAAAACTGACCATATGGTGAAAGAAAGGGAAACTAAAGCAGTTGTTTCAATCAATTTGCAAAAAGGTGTACTTATCACTTGAAAAGTAAATGTGTATCAGTCCATTTGCTAGTTTTACTGAGTGACCAGAATTTTCTTTTGTGATGATATTTACTGATGTTAGTTGTGATAATAACTTGTGTCTTACAATTTCTTCACTGACATCGATATATATGACTTACAATCAATAACATCTGTCGTTACACTGATAAGTGGTCAGTTATCCTGTTCAGTTTTGATAGCAATTCTGGTTTTGTTTTCTTGTAAGAAGATACTATGATTTGATTTGATTTGTCTGTTTAATGGCACATCAACTCCTCATGGGTCATTTGATACCAAAATTTAATTTTCTTGGAAGCTTTGAAGTAATAAAAACATGATATATGTTATTCTGCTTTCACAATTGTATACATGGTAGATGATACTCAGCTTTTGTGCATATACATGTTTTTGTGGACATAATTACTAGTGTAGTAGAAGCCTGGTCACCTAGTGTGGTTTCCTTTTGTATGGCCTTGTGTCAGACCACCAGACTCCCATGTACAAGGGTAGTTGATACTCTTTTAGGATATCAACGTTTCTTGACAAGGTTAGCAACAGTAGAGAATGGACAAACACAAATAAAAAGCATAAGAAATATAAGTTTATTTACTAACAAACTGACAGGATGAAGGAGGAAAGAATGTTGAGTTCCTGGTTTCTGGATAATAAGTCTGGCGAATCTGTGAAGCGTGCGGTTGATGTTGATGATTGAACATTATTGTGCGCCAAATTGTAATGGTTGGCGCCAAACGTTCCTGAAGAGAAAAGGAGCCGGAGAATAGAAGAAGAATCAATGAAGACTTAGAAACAGATTAGTATGGTAGGTTACGAAACTCCGACATGAGTTCGACCAGGATAGGATCACAGAGTTTATAAGTTGCAAGAGAAATGTTTGTCAACATAGAATGAAGTATAGACCAAGGGAAAGATCCAGAAAATACAAGTACCATGTGTGGAGGTTCGTGGGTTCCTAACTTACTTGTTGATTTGGATGAGAGGTAAGGTTCACTTGATACTGCGGCAACGGTTGTTTAAAAATAGTTAAACCTATTCTTCACACACACATATACAAACATGTAAACATACGCATACTAGGTGTAGACAGAGTGGGCTGGTATTGATCTAAAGGACAACTTGAAATTCAAAATCAATGATGTTCAACCCTCATTTATGTGACTTTGTGTCTGACGAAGCTAATCTTGGTAAACAATACCTATCTTGAAATTTGTACTGGAAGCCTGGTCGCCAAGTGTGGTTTCCTTTTGTATGGCCTTGTGTCAGACCACCAGACTCCCACGTCCAAGGGTAATTGATACTCTTTTAGGATATCAACGGTTCTTGACAAGGTTAGCAACGGTAGAGAATGGACAAAGATGAATGAAAGGTATAACAAATATAAGTTTATTTAATAACAAACTGACAGGATGAAGGAGGAAAGAATGCAGTGTCGAGTTCCTGGTTTCTGGATAGTAGGTCTGAACACGAATCTGTGAAGCGTGTGGTAGATGTTGAGATTGAACGTTATTGCACACCAAACTAGATATATGTGTTTTATGTTGTTTTGTTGAAGTCATATTTTGCTTTGGTTGGTTGATTTTGTTTAGTGGCATATCATATGTAGTTTATCATCATACCAAGACCTAAGAAGAAGATACTATTAATTTCTTTAGTTCTATTGTACCTTTCAGGACCAAATACCAACATATGTATCCTAGTGTCAGTGAATCTTTAAAGAAAATCATATCAGAGGTTTTCACATCTACAGAAATTAAAAACCAACAAAGGTCCATCAGAGAAATCATTTCCAATTTGATATATGATATTAAAAATCAGCTCAACATTAATTTTTTAAAAATCAAAATATTTTTTTCAGCCAATGAAAAGCTTTATATGGGCTGACCCTTCTGTTGACAGTAAGCTGCTTCTGGTCATTAAAAAGAATGGAAGTTATATTAATAAATGAATAAATGAGATTATTTTTATACCTTGTTGTTGCATCCAGATTGTCACAGATAGTTTTTTTTTTTTTTTTTTTTTCATTTCGTTGAATAAATTATTTTGGGATTGGTCATTGTCTTTCATTTTTTATCCCTACATAAATTCACATTGATTTTTTTTTTTTTTTCAGATAACAACACAAATAAACTTGAGAAAGTTATAAATCTATCTCTTCCCTCCAACTTTGTATTAGGACAAAAAGCAGTTGAACATCCGACTAGCAAATCCACCTAATGAAAACCTACTTGATACAGAAACCACAGAGACTACACCTAGTTTGGTGAGGATATTACCAAATGCTACACAGGGTAGTCTAATGTCACTAAGAAGGAGGATGTGAAAAGCCATAAAAAATAGAATGGTCAATAAAATAAATTCTTATATATTCTAGCATAAACTCATTTCATGCTATGACCTAATATTTTGGAATATTCAAGATTAAAGATTTTTATATTCTGTGTGAATTTCTGGAATGAGGAATTATCTTTATTTACACTATCTACATGCTGACTATTGTCCTCATCTTTGTTGTTGTTACCACATTGATGTACCCCATCGAGGCCGCAACCGATTCAATAATATCTGTGTTTATCTCTGGGATGAGGAATTAGCTTTATTTACACTATTTACATGCAGATTATTGTCCTCACCTTTGAGGGCGACAATTAGCGTGTAAATAGTGTAAATAAATTAAATAAGTATTTAACCAACATTTTGTGACTTTTCAATCAGCACCTTGAAATCATAGCAATTTTTTATTTGCATAAAATGTTGAAATAAACTGTGGAAAGTGTAGTGGACCCCCTGGAGAGGGTGCGATAATGTCCTATGTGCCCAATAAATATATCACAGGAGGCCCGCTAACATTTATAAATTAAATACATGAAACCTGACAGGTGGAACAAAAATAAGGATATTTAAAATTAATACAAAATTTATTTAGAATACAGACCAGAGTCTTTGTAGGTTAAATTAGCATATAAGTCCATGAAAGTTCGAAAGGTTAAGTTCACATGTCTGGTGAAAGTGTTGAAAAGTTGCTGGTCAAGTTCAATGATGAACCTTCCATAGTATTTTAACCAAAGTGCATGGAGTAGGTTATTTGAAGTCTGGACGATATAACCAAAGAGAAAAAATGTCTGGTGCTGGCATTGCGTAGTTGTTGGTCAAATCCAATGTCTGACGTTGGCGTTGCATAGTTGCTGGTCAAATTCAATGTCTGATGCTGGCGTAGCATAGTTGCTGATCAAGTCCAATGTCTGGTGCTGGCGTAGCATAGTTGCTGGTCAAGTCCAGTGTCTAATGCTGGCATTGCGTAGATAGAAAAGCCCAACTAGCATCCAGTTGGCAAACAAAAATAAATGGGAATGTAACTCAATACATAACCCGTTCAAGCGCCCTAGCCACAATAACCAGAGGCCTGCATTTCTTCTTCTCTGTCCTCTCAGGTTCAGCGAGAAGTCATCGGCTTATATGATAAGGGAGTGTAAACCTTAACTATTCCTGCAAAGTACTAAAAATCTCAAGAAAAAATAAATTGAGATGTGTTATGAAATATAAAAGTATAAAAGTGTTTACAAAGTGTATTATGAATGGTTCGTAACACTGAAAGAACTACAAAGTCATTAGGTTTATTATAAACGTAAATGAACTTAAATTGAAGGGAGTGTGATGATTTAATGAAGAAAAGGTCATAGCGTCTGCCCATGGTCATGTGAACAGAGTAGTGAAGGGCTGAGATAAGAGAAATAAAAGGACAGAAATAGATATGAAAAGATTAAGATAGATGGAGCAAGAGATAACGAGAGAGATGAACAGACTAAGAGAGATAGATAATGAGAAAGAGATGAACAGACTAAGAGAGATAGATTGATAGAGAGAGAGAGAATATGAGAGAGAGAGAGAGAGAGAGAGAGATGAACATACTAAGATAGATATATTAATCTTACACAATGTCATATTAGTGGAAATGAGAAGTAGGAAGATTGTGTTCTACAAATCTTTCAAGAGGGAAGAATGTCATACAAATTTTTGTTTGACTTCAACCAATCACTGACTTCCAAACTTACATAAAAGCATTTTTGAATGATTTTTGTTTAATTTTATATTCATAATTTTAATATACATGTATGGCATATTGTTGGAAAATCCTTAAAAGGCTTCCACCTTTTATATTATTTAAAATTCTGATAATAAAAGGGAATGTATTTAGCGACGTCTATATTTTGTCAGTATGAAACAGCCCAATCTATTTAGCGACGTCTATATTTTGTCAGTATGAAACAGCCCAAATGACAGGACAGGTGGTTTTCTTGTTGACTGCGACATATGAGAGTTTTGTAACCTACAACAGGTTTGCAGCTTTTGACCTGTGGATTTTTGTTTTTATTTTCACCACTTCTGGAACATTTCAACTTCATTTTTCTATCTGTATGCAGGCTACTACTAGTATAAATTCTGGATTATTCTATTATCTTTCCCAAATTAATAAAAGTTTTCCAAGACAGTAAAACTAATTTTTTTTTTTTTTTTTTTTTTTTTTTACAGACAAATTAAAAATCCGTTGTACTGTTAACATTCACATTATGGAGTCAAAAGTTTGTGTGAGAAGTTTTTACGTTTTTTGGCAAGATTTGTGGAAAATTTATATTTAAAATATAAAAGAGAATATAAGAGATTTTGTTAAGAAATCATATTACACTTACTTTGGAATAAAACTTGGACATCAGGACAAAAATGATTGAGAAACTGGGATAATAAAGAAAAAAATGTAAAAAGAAAATTCTTGTTTTTGTAATTCTAGTGATATGGAGAAAAACAAAAAATCATAATAACAATGGCTATTTTTGTTCCTGTAAAATTCAAGGAGACAAACAAAAAGAATCAGAAATTGTCTCTCCTAACCCTAAGATTTCTGTGAAATCATTTAAGATACCAATTTAGAAACAGATATTGATTTCCAAAATTGAAAGAAAAAGATCCTACATATCACAATCACCTGCTGTAGTAACTATGATACCGAGCATCAGCGCCATCTGGTGAGCAGCTGGGAAACTACAATGTAAAGATGACAAAGTTGAGTAATTTTTATGAATCAGTTTTGTTGAGTAGGACAGGCAGCCATATCATACTGAGGGATGTCTGTATAAACAACACCAGTAACCCGTTCAGGAAATGAACTAACCTGGCCATGTGCAAGACATGGTACACGTGTGAACAATGCAAATATCAACAAGGCTAGCAGGGAAACCTGAAGAAATGAACAGATTGCAACCAGCACCCAAGCACTCAACATGTTTTTGGATATTACCAAGCTTGCGGACTTTGTGTGTATTTTTTAGGTGAAGGTGTGTAGAGGGTGCAAAGAAGTCCCTCAAACAAATAATAAAAAGAAAATACACTACAAATAAAGTAAAATAAACTTTTGTTTATTTTTGTAAAGAATTATTTTTTTTCCTTGTACAAAAATGAAATTGTCCGTAAAGCTGCGGAAGAAAAAGAAAAGAAAGGAACTGGGAATGTGAGAGGGAAAGGTAGGACTATGTGTAGCGAGCGAGATGAGAGAAAGAGAGGGTGAAAGAATGTTCACTGATACGTGATACTGCCTGTTGTGTGAACCGCTGAATCCTCTCGGTGTGTGTGTGTGCTCGAAACTGTCCGTGTCGCTTTGATGTCAGCTTGTCGCTGTTCTCTCCCCTTCTGATGAGAGTTTCTACCTTCCTTATATAAGAATGATGAGGCTCCAGGAGATTAAGAAATGGGTTTCTTATGTCGAGTCCTGATTGGTCAATAAATCCTATTTTTGACCACGTGGTGTGCTTTTCACTACGTCCGAACTTTTGGGTGCGCTGTCCTTGTTTTTGACCCCACAGGGCATGGTAAGGAATGAATTCCCGCGCAATTGTATTTTTTGATACACGTGGTATGAATTAATTTTTATTGTGTGTATGTGTGTGTGGAAAAATAAGAAGCAGCACAATACTCCCCCCCCCCCAGATTGGAAAATATATGAAAGATACATATGTTTTTCAATATGTGATATATTCTTTAAAATGTTTCGGCCAGTGGACTTTTCTGCCGGTTTTCGTTGTAGGTGTGATGTCAGTATTTTGTTTTTTAGCTTCCTCATTTTCTGTGTGAATATGTGTTTGTGGAGGTATTGTATGAGGTTGTTCGTCGATGTACGCTGGTTTGATGCGATCAATAGCGATATTATCTTTCTTTTCTTTTCTCATAACAGTAAAATATTTTTCATGCCTGTCCAGAACTTGATATGGTCCTGAATAATTTGGACAGAGTGGTTTTTTAACTGCGTCATTTCTGATAAATATATATTTGCAGGTGTGAAGATCGTTTGGGATGTAAGTTTGTTTCTCTGTTTTCCTGGATGGTGCAAAGTTGAGAAGAGACATTTTATGTTTTAATTCTGTTACAAACGTTGTTGTAGGTGAAATGTCTGTCTTGTGATTAAAATACTGTCCAGGTAGTGTTAATGCTGATCCGAAAACTACCTCTGCAGGTGTGCTTTTGCAAATCTTCTTTCACTGTGTTTCTTATCGCTAAAAGAATTAGCGGTAAATTGTCTGTCCAGTCCGCATTATTTAAATTCATAGCTAGAGAAGCTTTTAACTGTTGTGGAATCTTTCAACCATCCCATTTGCACAAGGGTGATAGGTGGTTGTTTTGATGTGATTCGTTCCTAACAATTGGGTAAATTCAGCAAAAAGTGTTGATTGAATTGTGAACCTCTATCTGTTGTTACTACTGAAGGTACTCCAAAAATTGCTATCCAGTCCTGCAGTATAACTCTGGCTATTGTTGCAGCTGAAGTGTCTTTTGACTGCTATGGCTGTAGGCCATCTGCTAAATCTGTCAACTATAGTAAGAATATGTGTATGTCCTTTTGAGGTGGGTAAAGGTCCTACTAAGTCGACATGAATGTTGGTGAATCTAGCATCAGGTATGCTAAAAGTGCCAAGTGGTGATTTCGTGTGTCTATGGATTTTGTTCTTTTGGCAAGGTATACAAGTTTTAGTCCAATTGCGAATGTCCGTGTTCATATTGGGCCAAACAAAGCGTTCTGCTATTAATTTTACAGTGGCTCTTTTTCCTGGATGAGATAAATTGTGAAAATGTTGAAAAACTAGTCGTCTGATGTTCGGTGGTATATATGGACGCGGATGTGTTTGTGATACATCACAATAAAATTTTGTTGTACCAAATGGTATCGGCATTTCTTTCAGTTGTAAGGATGTTTTTTTGTTGTACAACTGGAAGTGTTTCATCTGTTTTCTGCTCTTGTGCGATCAATTCCATACTTAAAGAACTGGAATTTAAAGAGGCTATTGTAGATCGAGATAATGCGTCTGCTATAATGTTCTCTTGTCCCTTAATATATCGGATGTCTGTGGAGAACTGGGCGATATAATCGAGATGTCTGATTTCTCATGGACCATATTTATCTACATGTGTATGTAGTGCATATGTTAATGGTCTGTGATCTGTATAAATGCAAAAAAATCTTCCTTCCAGCAAATGTTTAAAATGTTTAATTGCAAGGTAAATTGCTAGAAGCTCCTTGAAAAGGTGCTGTATTTCGTCTGTGTCTTGCTTAGCTTAGCAGAAAAAAAAATGATATAGGCGTCATTGTGTTGTTAGCAATTTGGTGTATGACTGCTCCTACAGCTATTTCAGATGCATCTGTTGTAAGCGTGAGTTTTGTGTCCTCACTGTCCGTTACGTAGTTTAGTTTTGTAAAGTTGGCCAAAGGAGTTTTAGCTTGTTTGAAGGCTTCTAGGCTAGGCCCTTCTAACTTTAAGTGTTGGTTCTTTGTTTTGTTTTGTAACAAATCTGTTAACGGTGCAAGTAATGTAGAACAGTTAGGTAAAAATCGCCTGTAATAGTTAATCACGCCTATGAATCTGCGTACTTGTCTGACTGATGTTGGTTGTGGGAAATTTGAAATTGCACTTATTTTCTCGGGTAGTGGAGATATTCCGTCCTTGTCAATTAAGTGTCCGAGGAAATTAACCTTTGGTTGGCTGAAAATGCATTTCTCTGTATTTATTTTCAGACCGTAATGTGATATTCTTTCAAATGTTTGCTCTAAGTGCTGTCTGTGCTCGTCGAGGTTTCTGCTGGCGATTAAAACGTCATCCACATATGCAAATATAAATGGCAGACCTCTAAAAAACTTCGTCTATTAACCTCTGGAAGGTTTGACAGGCGTTCCTAAGCCCGAAAGGCATCCTTACGAACTCGTAAAGGCCAAATGGTGTGGTCAGTGCAGTTTTATGAATGTCCTCTTCTGCCACTGGAACTTGGTAGTACGCCTTTACAAGATCCAATTTGGAAAATATGGTGGCGCCTTGTAGACCGATGGCGAAATCGTGGATATGTGGAATAGAGTATCTATCCGGGACCGTTTTAGCATTTAATCTTCTAAAATCGCCACAAGGACGCCATGTTGTAGCGTCGGACTTTTGCACCATGTGTAGCGGTGAAGACCAAGCACTTTTCGAGGGTCGGATTATCCCTTGTTGTAATAAATGTTGAAACTCGTTTTTTCGCAATCTTATACTTGTCCGGTTTCAATCGTCTGGGGGTGGCATAGACAGGTTGTCCAGTTGTCTTGATGTGGTGCTTGGCATTATGTTTTATGGTGTCTGTGTTTTTAAATGGCTGGGAGAGTTGTGGATATTTTTTTAGTAGCTGACGGATGTACTGGTCCTCGGGTAAGGCAGAACTGATTCCAGTAGACTGGTATTTCGAGGTGAGTCCTCTTACTGAAATCTTGGTTTGATTATCCACCAGTGTGCGATTAGTCATGTCGACAGACAGGTTGAATCTGGCTAAAAAATCTGCCCCCAATATAGGCGTTGTTACACTGGCTATGGTAAAATTCCAGAAAAAATTCCGTCGCATGCCGAGATTGATATTGAGCGATTTCTCTCCGTAAGTTGGTATTTTGGTACCGTTAGCTGCTTGAAGATGATAAGACTGTGGCATAGTCTCCTGATTTTGTGTTGGTGGTATCACGCTTATTTCAGCTCCGGTGTCTATTAAAAAGTTATATCCATTAATTTTGTCGCGGATATAAAACAGACGACCTTTTGTTAAAAATCCAGCAACAGCCTCTACTGGCTGGAATTTCCGTTTCCCGCATTCGCGTTGTTGAAAGAACAAGGATGTGTACAACGTCTCGCCTCAGGACCAAACCTTTTGTGGTAGTAACAAATTTCATCTTTTCGATTGCGGTTGTCAGTCCGGCCTCTGCTGAAACTTCGCTTTCTGTAGCCTGGACATTTATCGCGGCGGTACTGTCGGTCTTTTTGTAGTAAGTCTTGTAATTGTATAGACAACCTTTCTACAGTAGACTTGAGGTCGTTAAATTCCCTGTCTCTTTGTTGGGCTGGTTGTGGTTGGATAGAGTTTACCCTGCGGCTTCGAAAACTTTCATGGATCCGATCTGCAATGTCCGCGAGTTTTTCTGTCTGCGTTTCCTCCGTCATGGGTGCGAGGATTTGTATTGTTGTAGTGGGTAACTTGTCCAGCCATAAGCTCCGCATAATGTTCTCGGACATTTTGTTGTCACCCAGTAAGGTTCGCATGTGCCTCAATAACTGCGATGGGGTGCGGTCTCCTAATTCAACCTGAGTGAAAAAGGTTGCGTAGCATGGCTTCGTTCGAGGCACCGGTCCGTTTTAAAATTGCTTCCTTGAGTCTATCGTACGGGTTGTCATCCGGGACATTTTCCAGTAAATCCATTACTTCCTCGACGATGTCTGCTGGCAGTTTTTCCACTAAGTAACAATACCGGGTTCTCTGGGAGGTGATTCGCTTCGCATCAAATAATGCCTGGATTTGAACGAACCAGGACTTAGTGTTAGTCGTGTTGAAAGCCGGGATATTCAACGATAGTGTGGCGAGAGGGGTTTCCAAGATTGTGATTCCATTGTGTCCTTCCTCTTCGTTTTGTTTGTTTTTTAAATGTAGTGTCTCACGTCGGTCACCAATTTGTAGAGGGTGCAAAAGAAGTCCCTCAAACAAATAATAAAAAAGAAAATACACTACAAATAAAGTAAAATAAACTTTTGTTTATTTTTGTAAAGAATTATTTTTTATCTTGTACAAAAAATGAAATTGTCCGTAAAGCTGCGGAAGAAAAAGAGAAAGAAAGGAACTGGGAATGTGAGAGGAAAGGTAGGACTATGTGTAGCGAGCGAGATGAGAGAAAGAGAGGGTGAAAGAATGTTCACTGATACGTGATACTGCCTGTTGTGTGAACCGCTGAATCCTCTCGGTGTGTGTGTGCTCGAAACTGTCCGTGTCGCTTTGATGTCAGCTTGTCGCTGTTCTCTCTCCTTCTGATGAGAGTTTCTACCTTCCTTATATAAGAATGATGAGGCTCCGGGGAGATTAAGAAATGGGTTTCTTATGTCGAGTCCTGATTGGTCAATAAATCCTATTTTTGACCACGTGGTGTGCTTTTCACTACGTCCGAACTTTTGGGTGCGCCGTCCTTGTTTTTGATCCCACAGGGCATGGTAAGGAATGAATTCCCGCGCAATTGTATTTTTTGATACACGTGGTATGAATTAATTTTTATTGTGTGTATGTGTGTGTGGAAAAATAAGAAACAGCACAGGTGCATGTTCAATATATAAACACAAATAAGTGCAAAAAGTTTAGTCATCAGTGGATCGTAGAAACTAACATTTCCCAGTGGGAACGCTATTATTGCATGGATCACATCTTGAAGCCAAGAGGATAAAGAGAGGGATTCTGTCCTTTCCGGAAGTGGGGTCATTAAGGTTACAGATAAATCTATTTTGCTAGACAAGGGGTGTCTGGGTGTTCAATATGTCTATATTTTAATGTACAGTTATTGCTACGTTTTGGTAGTGGGTAGGGATATATTTTTCAATGAAATCGGTTAAAAGCGTGTCGTCTGGATTTTTTTTAAATTTTATTGTTAACGGCTAAAATTCTTACGGCATTTTTTCTTCGTATATTTAAAGATTTTTGGGTGGGGTGTTTAGGTAAGAATACTTTTTATTTAACTACGATTTGAAATATTTTTACTTTTAATTTTTAATATACTACATTTCTTTCAAGAACAATTAAATGTAATTAGAATCCCTTACAGTTTGTAGAATTATTATCACATCAAGTATATTACGATTTTTAAAAATTTTATATTTAAATATTATTTAAGTAAAATTTTCATTTCTCTGATTTAGTAAACTTTATTTATTTATTTAATTACAATTTAGAGTTACTTGCAGTGAGTAAAATTATTTTTCTAGATCAAGTATATTTATATTACGATTTTTAAAATTTTATATTTAAATATTATTTAAGTAAAAAAATTTTTCACTTACGGCAAAAATAGCTAATTCATTTCTCTGATTTAGAAGTTTAGGTTAGGATTCATTTTAACTAACTCCAATTTTAATTACAACTTTAAAATATTTTTAAAATATTTTCATTATTAGTTTTTTTAGACTATATTTCATTTAATAGAAGTAAATGTATTATAATTACTTACAGTAAGTAAAATTATTTTTCTATATCAAGTATATTCATATTACGATTTTTAAAAATTTTATATTTAAATATTATTTAACTATAATTTTTTTTTTACTTACGGCAAAAATAGCTAATTCATTTCTCTGATTTAGTAAACTTTATTTATTTATTTATTTATTTAATTACAATTTAAAAGAAGTTAAGGTTAGAATTCATTTTAATTAACTACAATTTTAATTACAACTTTAAAATAATTTCATTGTTAGTTTTTATAGACTATATTTCATTTAATAGAAGTAAATGTATTAGAATTACTTACAGTAAGTAAAATTATTTTTCCATATCAAGTATATTTATATTACGATTTTTAAAAATTTTATATTTAAATATTTTTTACGTATATTTTAAGTAAAAAATTTTTTTTTCGCACTTACGGCAAAAATAGCTTATTCATTTCTCTGATTTAGTAAACTTTATTTAATTAGATTAGATGTTAGATTTCTTTGAAAAATACATCCCTACCCACTACCAAAACGTAGCAATAACTGTACATTAAAATATAGACATATTGAACACCCAGACACCCCTTGTCTAGAAAAATAGATTTATCTGTAACCTTGGAAACATGAATTTTGTTTTAGCAGTGTATTTAAAACCCAGTAATTTTAAAAGTTACTCCAAAATTCGCTTGAGGATGAAATGGAACTAATGTCTTTAATTTAATTACAAAATTAAATTCGGGGTTTTTAGCTTCCATTTTTGAAACATGGTTAAAAGTGTGTAGCGAAAAAAAACATATTTTAAATCAATTAATCTATAATATTAATACTCTGTAAATTTACATTGAGCACTATTTTGTAAAAATAAAAATATCTATAAGAACACTAGATTATATATCTTACTGTTCTTTCTTTTTTATTTATATACATATATATATATATATATATATATATATATATATATATATATATATATATATATATAAAAAGATTGAATTTTCCTTAACCCAACATCTCAAAATATCAAATTTGACTGCACTTATAAATTAAGTAAATCAATTTCTAAAAACTTATTCTTAGCATCACTTGATTATGAATCTTTAAGTTTGATTTTTATAATTGAATTTGAATTGAAGTTTCAGTTTTGAAACATGGGAATTTCAGTGTTGCGATGGTAACATATTTATTAAAAACAATTATTTATATATATATATATATATATATATATATATATATATATATATATATGATAAAAATATAGTTTTAGGGTATGCTATATAGGGCAAAATGCTCAATATCAGGGATAGAGCATATGTAAATATAAAAGTGGACATTGAGGTCAACATCCAGTGGTGATTGTCTGCTTTATGCTTAAACACTATCTTCAGGATGACCTGAAAATTGTGTTTAAGCCTGAAACAACCTGTTGCTGCTGGGTGTTGACCTCAGTTTTTACTTATATATATATATATATATATATATATATATATATATATATATTTTTTTGAACAATAAAAATATTAGAAAATTAAAATATTAAAAAATTTTTAAATTTAAATTTCACACACTGGGTTGTATATTAATATTCTTTTGTTTTTATTATTACTTTATTTAGATTCCTCGATTAGTTTCAGCCAACATGGCCATTATCGGGAGAAAAAAATTTTCTGCTTGTTGGTAGCAGTGAACTACAGAAATGAATGTCTTGATAGATAGATAGATAGATAGATAGATAGATAGATAGATAGATAGATAGATAGATGAAGGAAAACAAAATATCATAATAACTGTTGCTGATTTGATGGTGCAATGAATGACCTGAAATAAGAGACTTTGGTATCTTGGGGGCAATTTGTGCTTCAGCAGCAGAGGAGGCAAGAACATTAGTTTTAGGCTTCAATTTTGAGCTTCAGGATTGCCTCAGGGTACAATCCTCTAGAACAGGGGCTCTCAACTGGTGTGCCTCAGAACCCTAGAATTCCCCAAACAGTTGCTGGGGGGTTCCACAAGAAACAGTGATAAATACACTTATGCATTTTTCTGTGATTTTGGTTTAATTTTATATCCATAATTTTAATATACATGCATGGCATATTGTTGGAAAATCCTTTGTTATTATAATAAAGGCTTCAGCCTTTTATATTATTTAAAATTATGATAATAAAAGGGAATGTATTTAGCAATGCCTATATTGTGTCAGCATGAAACAGCCTTTACTGATTAGTTGACAGGACTTGTATGTGGCAGATTTGTGTATCATTAAGTGACTCACTTGAGTGCAAGATGCATGCATAGTGTCTTTATTTTGTTTTCCATGTGAACTATGATAAAAATATAAAAGAGATAGATAATAATAATAATAATAATAATAATAATAATAATAATAATAATATTATTTTTTATACAGGTGTTCTCTAAGACATGAAAACTATTTCAAGGTTTCCACAAGGGTAAAAAGGTTGAAAATACTGGTCTAGAAGATTAATTAAAATTAATTAATTAATGTTTTAATTAATTAATTAATTAAAACATTAATTAGTGACATAATAATTGTGAGTTCAATCCCTGGGCTGGTTAGTATGGATATACTCAAAATCAGTGAGAACAAGACTTGCAGTAAGTGAACAATCAAACATGGAGAATGGAATGAAAACCATCTACACCTGTAGATGGAATAAAAGGATCAGTTCAAAATTTCCTGATGATTACCCAGATTGACAGACACTTAAAGAAAGTCAAAGAGCATAACAGCTGAACATAGATGAGGACTGTAAATTATGTAAATAATTATAAGAAATTTAAATAGAGATTGGTGTATAATTCAAAGAGTTAATTTCTAAGTTCTTTGGCAATAATAAAAATTCCAATTATAGACAAATTATAAAAAATATGAATCAAATGTAAGGTGCAGGAAAGCAGAAAATGATTATCTCCCTTTTGACAGGAAGAACTGACTCATGTCTTAAGAGCCCCTTGAGTATCATAGGACAGCCCATTGGTAAGAATAGACAGTTGCTGCTTAGTTCACACCAGAGGCAGATGAGGTAGTGAGTTGCAGTTTGGCTGATCACAGAGGATGATAGCAATTACCATGCATCCTAAATAGGAACCTAAGACATATCACAAGCTGTACAGTGTCTCTGTTAGGAATTTTACATTTAAGACTTACTTTTTATTTGTCCCCTTCACATACTGCTTCCTATGTGTTTAAATTTCTTCTTGGGAAACAATTTGTGACATAGATATATTTTTATGTATTGCATTATGAATCTGCTTGCCAAGCCCAGGTTTGCTGCAGTTGATGGTGTCAACTGAAATGTGTGCATTCTAGAGTGGTGATCCATGGACCACCTTAAACAATTTGCAACCAAAGCTTTCAAACTCAAAGACTTTTCTTCTTCAAAAATCAACATCCTCAAAAATACCAGAAGAGATGAAAAGATCCCAAAGAAAAGCCAGACCTCTCCATCTCCTGACCCCTCCTACCCTACCATGCAGTGGTTGCGGACATCACTTCAGATCCTATATAGGACTCATTTAACACAGAAGAAAATGTCAATGAGCACCCCGATACTCAGCAACGAGTTCTATTAAGATGACAACTGTGTACTCCAGTGTTGTATATAAAATGTTTTTATTTTGGGAATTAATATTCTTTGAGTTATTTTCATCCTTACTTCTGTCTCATTAAGTCGTTAGTATATCATGGATAGACTAATGGCTATAGTGAATATTAGAGAGTGAAGAAGACCGGAATATTTCCCCTCTATTTTTAAGCACACCATTAGAGTGGCAAAGTTCAGATTTAGATTCACATTTGGAATTTTTCCCCAAAATTGTGGAGCAGTGAAGGAAAAACAGAATATCAAGAAACTGGAAAGACAGTAACAGAGACATTGGAATATCAGCATAATGGTGGATGAGTCATAGGGACAAATTAAAAAAAATCTACAAACTGCCAGCAAAACAATGGTTTGTAGAAAAAAACTGAAAAATCACAAAAGCTACAAATGGTAATAGCAACAGTAATATCAACCCTTTCCTGATAAGGAAATATTCAATGCTCATTGATTGAACAGTCAGTTGAAATTTATAAAATCTTTCTTTTAAAACAGTTTTTCAGGAAAATAGGTTTTTCAGATTTCCACTGTTATCGCTCTTTCTACAATCGGTAGGAGTTTCCTTCCTAACCTTTTGTTCAAAACAGTAAGGAAAGTCAACAAATTAATTAAGTTATTATTTTCTCTTTGTGCTGCATGTGCGATCCATTTTAGTTGTTGCAGCTGTTGGTAGTCCTCAAGTGAAGTGGCTTCTGATATTTGGTACAGTTGTTTGTGATTCTGTAGCATCAGTCCACAAGGTCCAAAGAAGGACTGTCCTGGGTATGATGATAAACTACATCCAGCAGCAAGGCCTCTTATCAGTGGTGGGGGCAGTGAAAAGCATGGAACCCTCTCTTAATTGCTGTTGATCCCAGGTCCACCCTGACCCGAGGTGGTAGCACCTGTTAGGGTCCCAGCTATAGGCAAAGAGTGAACACCCCCACCAAACTGGGATCAAAACACTATGAAAGTATTAAAATACATTTTTATAGTAAAAAATACCACAAATAAATTTTAATAGTAAAAAAAAAAAAAATTTAACAAAGCTCCCAAGAAAATTAAATTTTGGCATTAAATAATCCATATGCCATTAAACAAACAACCAGCCAACCAATCAATCAAAGAAGGATAATCCTTGCTAAGATCTCAAAGCCACTTTTAATTAATGATCTGAGAAATGGTTGTATACAACTGACAGTTTAGACATTTGTAAATGAATTGGATGACATGTATGACATTCATATGAAAATCTAGATTTGATAAAGCTCAAGTTCTGAGGTTAATGTTTTGATTTTGTAGCACCTTGTGATGTTGAACAAAACTACCCTTAGCACAGCTAATTCTATATTCATTTTATCTCCTATGCTACTGTAGTAAAAACAGAACCAGTGATTAAACTTATACCAAAGCTTTATTACACTTTACTCTGACTACTCGTCTACTGACGGATATAACAAGTTGTTTTTTATACCACCTCGATCTTAAAGGGAGATAACTGATGATTTATCAGTACAACTACATTTGTAATAATTGATCTATAAAGTTCTAGGCAGATAATGGAATATACAGTTTTTATAAAAATTTAATTGAAAACAAATACTACTCTCTACCACTTACCATTACCTAAAAGAAAGATATCAAACAATGAGGTGTTAAGTTATGACTTTTTTGATAAGCCTTGATTCTGAGCCTGATTACGGCAATGCTGTGTCTAGTTCAGAGTGATAAAAAACGAATGTTCTGTAAAAAAAGCTTGAGAAGAGAATTCTTTCTCTGGATTATTTTCAATCAGCCAGGAATGGAATTTGAAACCTGTGACAATTTTGAAAGGTCTTGTGAGCTTACTCACAATAAGGGAGCAGCCATTAGGCTTAAATTACTATTTATTAACAACACAACTGAGGACAAATGGAGTTAGCAGATCATTTAACTTTTCAGCAGTGAAGAAAAGAGAACATTAGACTCCAAGTTACCATATGACCAACCAACAACTCTGCGTAACATGCAAAATCTTAATGCAGACAATATTGGACATCTTAAACAAAAGCACCAAGTTTGTCTCAATAAAACAAGACAACTCACACACTGTTACCATAATTCTTCAGCACTCTACTAACGTCCAGCAAGTTTAACACAACATTCACTTGGCAACTCATTCAAAAACAGGCACTTCCAATACTATGTTGATCTAGTGACACCAGAAAGGTCAGAATATTAACAACACCTTGTGAACTTCACTGTCTCTCCTGTGGAAGGTTGAGGGGGGAAAATTTGGCCTTGTAAAAATATCCATTTCATCTGCAGGAATTTCAGTCTTCCAGATTTTTATATTAAAAATCCAAACATCTGAATTCCAAACAATAATAAAATGAAAATAAAGAAAACATGGATATGTCTGTTAAATAAATCAATTGTATTTACAAACATATTTACATGGAGTTAAAAAGTTAATGCAAATCAAGAAGTGGATAGCGGCTCGGATTGAGAAATCAGAGAGCCAAGTTCAAATTCCAGTCAAATCCATTACATTCACTTGCATGCTAATACCCTTGGGAAAGGTATGAATCCTCTTCTTCTCTCCCCAAGAGAAATAGCAGGACAGACCAGGCTCTATAGCCTTGGGTGGCAACTTGTCTAGGTGAAGGACAATTTGATCCTACTCACTTAAAAACTGGCTTGTTATAGAAACCACAATGACATTTTGCAGCCCTATGTTCCCTAAGGAATTTAAAGGCATTATATATATATATATATATATATATATATATATATATATATATATATATAATTACTTGAAGCACAGTGGAGTAATGGATAACGGATTGAGGAATCAGAGAGCGGAGTTCAATTCCAGTCAAATCTATTATATTCACTTTCGTGCTAATACCCTTGGGAAAGATATAAATCCTCTTCTCCTTCCAGCTATGGGCAAATAGCAGAACAGACTGGGTTCTATAGCCTTGGATGGCAACTGGTCTACCACAAAAAGAAATGGCAACCTACTGCTGGGAAAAACTGCCTCATCAGTCATTTATCAAAAGATACATGATCACCTAAGCATGTATCACATATGGCATATAACTGACTGATTGAATTAAAGTATTTGGGTAGTTGGTTCATAGAAAAAAGCTATAGTTAAAAAATACTTTCATCATTAGCAAAGATTCAATGACTGTCTTTGTTGTTGTTCTAGCTGGTTGATTTGAAGTTGCCAACACATTTCTTTCAGTGTGAGCCGTGGAAAGAAACTCACATCTCTCTTCAGATTGGAGACAGCTGCAT